CGGCGGACCTAGCTCACGACTCGGTTGAAAATCTGGCGGCGGCCTGGGAAGTGGCCGCTGCCGCAGCACTGGACCGAGTCGTGCCTTTGCGGCCTCTGACCCGGCGCAGATCTCAATTGGCTCCCTGGTTTACCGAGGAGCTGAGAGAGATGAAGCGCCGGAAAAGACGCCTAGAGAGCAGTTGGAGGGTGAGCCGAACTGAATTTGACCGAACACAGGCAAGGATACAGGTTAGATCCTACCTAGTGGCGATGAGGGTGGCGAGGTCTAATTACTACTCCACCCTCATTGCGTCATCAGATAATCGCCCGGCCACCCTCTTCAGGGTGATTCGCTCCCTCCTCCAGTTGAGGGGGGGGAAGATCCCCTGGGGGGGAGGGCCGAGGATTTTGCTCAATATCTGTATGACAAAATCGCTCGGATCCGAGAAGGTTTTGACTCTGACTGGGTGGCCCTGGGGGAGGAGACAGGAGTAAGTCTTGAGACTGTGGCTCCTGAAGATGTGGACAGGATTCTCGGGAGGCTGAATGCAACCACATGTTTACTGGATCCGTGCCCCTCCTGGCTGGTACTGGCTGCCCAGGAGGGTACACGAGCCTGGCTCCAGGGAATTATAAACGCTTCTTTGCGGGAGGGTGTCTTCCCCATAGCCTTGAAGGAAGCGATGGTGAGGCCCCTCCTTAAGAAGCCTTCCCTGGACCCAGATGTATTAGCTAACTATCGTCCGGTCTCCAACCTTCGCTTTGTGGCGAAGGTTGTAGAGAGTGTGGTTGCGCGGCAGCTCCCCCGACACCTGGAGGAAACGGTCTATCTAGACCCGCTCCAGTCGGGCTTCAGGCCGGGATACAGCACGGAAACGGCATTGGTCACATTGGTGAATGATCTCTGGACAGGGGTTGTTCCTCTGTCCTAGTTCTTTTGGACCTCTCAGCGGCTTTTGATACGGTGGACCACGGTATCATGCTGTGGCGTTTGGCTGAGTTGGGAGTGGGAGGCACGGTTATGCGGTGGTTCTCCTCCTTCCTCGCCGACCGCACGCAGTCTGTATTGGCAGGGGGGCAGAGGTCGGCCCCAAGGCCCCTAACTTGTGGGGTGCCACAAGGGTCGGTCCTCTCCCCCTTACTGTTCAATATTTATGTGAAGCCGCTGGGGGAGATCATCCGTGG